CATGATTAATCACTCAACCAATGGATTACCCACCCACATGATTAATCCCCTCAATGAATGTTCTGGAATAATACGAACAATGTGACCAGCACTTCTCTTTGACAAATTGGGGGGATGAGTGTATACCGGAAGCAGGAAAGACTTTAAAACTCCCTAACAGACTGCGAGGACCAACAAAAACGGCTTGGCTGCCCTCCAAGGAAAGCCATAAGAGAATTTTCAGAAAAAGAAGGCATGAACATTTCAAGGCACGTTCTGGTGATCTTTTGTTTCTTCCATCAACCCTTGGACAATGATGTGAGTTTAATCCTTTACAACCCTTTTTCAGTGAGACTGTAGGGTGAACACAGGGCCTCACACACTAGGCAAACATACAAAACTCGTACGATGTCCCCCAGCCAGGCCTTGAAAGCGTCACATAGACACTTCTTTGGCATGTCAGCAGCTAGGCCAATAGAAGCCACAGGACTCTCCAGGCCTAGAGCCCACCAGTGTTTTCTTTTTCATCTTACGTACTGTCAGCAACACTGGTGAACCCCACCTATCAGGGTTAACTCCCTCCTATTATCCGATAAGCCTCAGATCCTAGAGACTAGGTAGCAGTTGGTGAAAGCTGAAACAGAGAGAAAGACTGCTGACAGCAGCTCTGAGGAAGGTGTGGTACCTCACTGTCTCCAAGGGCCTCACCTAAGTGAAGCGGACCTTTAACTGTGTCAGTTACTCTCACCTGAGTGAGTCACCTCCGAATGGCTGAGCATCTTTTTCTAATCGTCACACTTCTCCTCACGTGTGGAGGAGGAGACCTGGGATTGATATAGAAGCTACGGCAGCAGCTGAGGTTAGACCTGACAGATTTGATCTTCAGTTCTTTGACACAGAACTTCCTTGGATCTAGTACTGGCTGGGTGGACTTACCTGGATCCCCAAGAAGATGCAGAGATACCATGGTGGGTTATCCAGGATACCATAGGCCAGGTGGCTGCTGTTGGGATCCTTCTGCGGCCCATCCTGTTTCTTGCCTTGGCCTTCAGTGTGGGAGCTGAGCACACCATCACCCCTCTGCCAAGACAAGGAAAGGGCATGTGTGAGCAGTCCAGGAGAAGATAACGACACTTCCTGACCTCAGCTGCATGGTGGGACACCCTTTCAGACATGAGAGGCCGAGGCTAGGGGTCAGCGGTATTAGCCAGCTGAGGACCACAGAGACAGAGAAAAGACCAATGCTACCCTGATCCGTACCGTAGGCATCTGAGTTAAAGACTCTTAAGTCTTGGGCTGTAGAAAGGGAGGGGTTGACCCAGAGCCTTGCCAGGGAGATGCTTTTGCTAGGGAGGAGATGAAAGCCCACCTTAAGCTCAAAAGTAGGTAGATTTCCTCTCAGGGATGGAGGGTGGTCCCTATGGCTGAAGACACCACATGCTTAGGGTACAGGACTCTGATGATTTGAGCTGGATCTGACCTGAGAGCCTCTTTCCTACAATCTGGCCTCTGATGTCCCAGCAGACACATGTCAGTGGCAACCAACAGCTGTCTAATTGGACTTCAGCAGGAGGGGAATTACAGCTGCTCCTGGAAGCTGAGCCGACTTCCCGGGGCTAGTGAGATCGTGGACGTTAGAAAAAAAAACAAAACAAAACCTACTACCATCATTTTTGCCAGATCAGCATAATTCCTTACTGCATTCAACATCCTTACACCTATAGAAAAGTGCAGCTACCACCCCTCGTCAAAGAAGCCTCTCTTCACAGCCAACAGAGATCATCCCAGAAAATGACAACTGCGGGGATCAACAATTCGGGGATCAAGAGATTATAGAGAGTTCAGGCCCTGTGGATACTTCTGCATTACAGCTCCTCATCTGTGGCTCAGAGGATGTAGAGGAAGAGGGGGTAGAGAGATCATAAGAGCCATGGTTTGCTTTCTCATGTCTGCTGCTACTCCAGTCTCTACTGTCAGTGTGAACTGAATGGCTATGCCAGACTAATGTGAACAGGTGCAGTACCCACAGGCATAACCCAGACCCGCTGGCCAATTCACATCCCTCCAGTTTAACCAAAAAATTAACTCGGAATTATAGATTTTTATTCCAACTTATTGACTGTATTCCTTATTCACCTTGGGCCGATTAATAGTATTTCTGTCTCAATGTTCTTATCTACACAAATCTAGATGGTTGAGAAAACTGCTTTGCAGTATAAAGCACAAAGTCCAGGGTTTAACACAGCACAACTGCCAATAAACGTTAGCTGTTGTGTTCACTATGACCTTCCATAAATGGCAGGCCTGACATGTCCTGACATGGAGACAACTGGTTGTGGGTAGAGGAACGTGGGAACATCATCTCTGGTGTGGTCAGAGGTATCAAGGCCATTAGCATGAGGATCAAGTCCTTCTAGCTGACGTGCCCCAGGGGAGTCTCCAGGCCCTGGTCAGATCACAGAGTGCAGGTTCTAAGCAATGGCACAGTCAGGGCTGCCCTCAAGGTAATGTGGGCAGCAGGAGACAGTTCCGGAAAGGCTATTGAAGTAAGTTTACTCCAGAGCTTCCTCCACACCTGAGTCTCCATCTCTGCAACCCACCTCAGGAAACATCTCTGGAGCAGTGTCGGCTCGTGACCTCATGGACTGGCATGAAGCACATTGATTCTGTGTGTTCCTTCCATCGAAGAAAAAAATATTTCAAATATTTGTGGACTACCTTAGTAGAAAAGTGAGTTGTGTATTAAACACCCTCAAAGTGCATTTTAAAAATCTATTTATTTGGCAATACTGAAGATTAAACCCAGAGCCTGTGGGTCAAACATAGAGCCTCCTCTATGCTACACTTCCTCTGACCTACACCCCTAGCCTCTTCTATCATTTTTGAAAACTTCTTCGTGGCATCGTGGGGCCAGGGAGCTGAGGAGACGTGGAGAGCAGGTCCAGAGCAAGAGTGGGATTAAGGCGTGTCCAAACCCCCTAAATCTTGTCCTGAGATTCTTGAAACCTGGTAGCCAGGTTAAGCTTCCTCTCCCCTTATAAGGTTATGTCCAGCATCACCTGGGATTCCTCCTTATGCTAATGAGGCATCTCTGGCATCCTGGCCCAGACCAATGGCATACACTCACCCTGAAAGCCCCTACCCACTCCCCAAAGGTTTAAATAGCCTTTGCCCGCCCCCTCCCCATTAAATGCTCATGGGCGCCTCTGGAACAGTTTCAGATCAAGAACTGGACAGCTGTTCACACCACCTCCAAAAAGCACCCCCTAGGGATCAGTATCCAACATGCCCTTCCCCCATTACTGAAACCTTGGAAGGTTTCAGCTAGCCAAGGCCAGCTATAGGCTGAAAATATTAAATGGAAAATTTCAGAAATAAACATACTCATAAGCTTTACATTTTAAATATTTATTTTATCATGTGTGTGTGTTTGTGTGTGTGTGTGTCCTCCAAGTGCCCATGAAGGCCAGATAAGAGTGTCGGACTGCCCGGAACTGGAGATCCAGGCGGCGGTACCACTCAACAGAGGTGCCAAGAACTGAACTTGGGTCCCTCTGCAAGAGCTCATAGCTCCTGAGCCTCCTCTCCAGTACTAAGCTTTATATGTTAAACTGAACCATTCTGAGCAGTGGGATGGGATCCTACACTAACATTTCCCACCATGCCTGGGAAGGCAATTCTCCTTGTGTAGGGTATCCATGGTGTATGTACTACCTTCCGGTATTTCCCTGAGTTAGCTGTCCCTGATATCAGACCAACTGCCTTAGGATCCCAGGACTGTGGACAAGGACTCCAACATGCGAGAGTACTACTCAAAGGGGCACCAGAGCATAAAACATGGAAAGGCACATTGAGACCATGTGGCAGCATTGGAGGGCATACGGGAGAAAGTACACACATGCACATGGACCTATCACAAATATATAAACATATATAAATACATAAATATATGCATATATCACATATCACAAATATATACAAATATGTGTGTATATCAAAATATAACAGATAAACATATATAAATACATAAATATATGTATAGGTCACAAGTATCACAAGTATATACAAATATACATGTATATATCATACATATCACAAATATATAAACATATAAATATATAAATATATGTATAAGAAACAATACTGTTCAGCACCACCTAAAATTTCAGGAAGGAATCTCCTGGGAGTCTTAGGAGATATCGCCACAAATAATGGCAACTGTTGTTTTCTAATCAAGGTCTGTCAACCACTGCACTACTGACATTTTGGACTGCATAATTCTTTGCTGTGGTCTGCAGGGCTGGGGCTAGAGATGGCTGACCTGTGCACTGAATTAAATTCAGTGCCCTTCCGGCCCCTCCTCTCTCCTAATTGTGATAACCTAACATATCTCTGGGTGTTGCCAGTGACTCGTAGGAGCCATCACTGTAAGAACAGGTCCCACTTTTCCCAAGAAAGATCTAACTTAGGTCAGTGCTGGCTGGAGAGAGGCGGATGTGGAGGCACAGGCCACACTGTGTACTATTGAAGGTGCAGAAAGCCAAACCTTCCATGGTGGCAGAACACAAATACTCAACCCAATTCCTTTCTGATACATACCCATGAGCCCCTCACCACTGGTAATGAAGAAAGCCCAGTTTGGTGCATTGAGGGAGCTGTGAATCGGTTTCATACTTCCTGATATGGGGGTGTATTGAGCTAGCCATAGACCTGCTCTACAGAACTATTTTATGCCCAGATAAAACATTTGTTTGTAAATTTTCCTCTTTATGCCATGTCTCCCTGATAAATGTGGCCCACCAAGAAAGTCCAAAGCCACCCACAGGATGGCTGACAGACGAAAGAATATACTGAGGTTTCTGAAGCAGTACATATGGACCGTAACCCTCAGGGAGCTGCTCCTGTTGGGGGTAATGAGCCTTGTTTGTGGAGATGCTTTCTAAGACGCCCAGAAGATTCCTTCCTGAGATTCAGGCAGTGCTGAACTATATCATTTCTCATGTACATTTATATATTTATGTATCTATATGTGGGTTTATGTATTTGTGATCTTTGTGATATATACACACATATTGCTGTATATTCATGATATGTGTGATCTCTGCGATATGTGTCAGTCTGTGTTATCTGCCCAGAAAAACACCTAAGGAAGAATTACAACAGGAAAACAGAAAACAAAAACTTCACATACCACTGTCCTCCCTAGCTTCTAAATTGGTGGGGAAAGTTGAAAAATGAAGGAAAAGATAAAGATCTTGTCCAGCTAGTGAGTCACAAGAAAGCAGAATAGAAATCAGATCGGTGCTGATCTGCCCTTTCTGAGATTCAAAAACTTTGAGCCCATGGGACAAATCTAACCATGAAGAAGAGGAGGGCAAGGAAGAAGTGATCGTGACAGACTGAGCGGCAGAGAGGTGGTGGGTGATGCCCAGCTTATCAGGGTGCACAAGATTGTGTCTGCTGGAGAATTAAGAAGAAAGCAAATTCAGCCAGGATTCAGACGGGTACCAGGCCTCTGTGTGTTGACTGAGCTTCACAGTGGAATGTGATTTTTCTTTTTTTCTTTTTCTTTTTTTTTTTGAAGTATAGAATAGAGTTATTCAGTGCATGGGAAGAGGAGTTAAGAGGGTAGTAGAGGCAGAGACAGAGAGAGAGAGACAGAGAGAGAGAGAGAGAGAGAGAGAGAGAGAGAGAGAGAGAGAGAAGAGAAGTAGAGGCCTGTCATGAGCACGTGGAGAGAGGGGAAAGGGAAGGAGGAAGGGGCGAGGGGACAGAGGGATCAAGAGATCAGGAGAGAGCAAGAGAGCCAAATATGATTTTTCAACAGGTCACAGGGGCTCTGGGGGAGCTAGGTGACCTAGGCTAGGATGCAAATTGGGCTTGTGAAATACTAAAGCAATCAAGAAAGGATGAGAAAAAGAAGAGTCAAGAAAAAGGAGACTTCATGGGTTTCTCAAGAATCTTATGGAGTAACGTGTGTGGGGGGGGGCTGGGTTACTAGGGAGAAAACTGCCAGAAACTCCAACATTGTGGTTGTTAACCACTGGAAAGCTTCAAGTTCCGGGACAGGTCACCAAAGGGATAAGTGAATCCTGGTATGTCAGCTGTCATGGAGGAAGGAGCTCTGTGGAGTGGGAATCATAACAGCCCCCTCCTTAAAGGAGTGGCCGAGCAGCCTGAAGGTGAGGACCATGAAGAGAGGCAGGAGCCCCCACAATGCAGATGAATGTATTGGCCTCCTCTGATGTGCTAGATATTAGGGCTTAGGTGGATGCTGGAACCAGGAACATCAAGGGTGATGGATACCAACTAAAGATACAAAAGTAAATGGGGTAGATAGATAGATGGATGGATGGATGGATGGATGGATGGATGGATGGCAGGAGAGTGGGTGGGTGGGTGGATGGATGAACAGACAGACAGATGGACAGACAGACAGATAGACTCAACTTCACCTAGGAGTGAGTAAATTTCTCCCTGAGTACTCTGTGCACATTTCTTCCCTGGAAGTGGAGATTGCATGCTTGGTTCTAAACTCTTTCACAAGGAGCCAGAAATGATCAATAAAGAGACAGCATCAGGAAACCAGGGCCACAATAGGTGCCAGCATGACCTTGCTTCCTCTTGACCCTGACTAGGTCAGAAAAACATGATCCAGCCTTGCTTAGTCCCTTGGGGATGGAGAGATGCTCCACTCTGGGATGAAAAAGGAAGAACTCACATGGAGATTGCAGAGGGCTGACTAAGGCAGTGCCTCCCAAAGATACCACTGTAGCGAGCATCCTTTGAGAAAATAGCTGACGTGGTGATGCATTGTTTTGTAGGCTGAACTAGGCCTAGCTAACAGTTTTTCTTTAGTATCCCCTTAGCCACTGACTCCTAAGACCCACAGGTACTCGCTTGGAACAGACGGCTGTGGAACTGGAGTGAAAAGTTTCACTACACATGGTGCCTATCTCTGGGTCTTTTGCAGAACACAGGTCAGGCACGGCCGTGACATACTCTGGAGGCTTCTGGATTAGTGAGGCAGATGATATCCAACAAGGTGAATGAGAAGATCCCACAGCAGCTCTCCCAGAAGATGATAAAATAATGCTGGAATAGTTCAAAGGAAGGTGCCCTGTGTGGGCGGGAAAAGATGCTTCCAAAAGCCATAAAGTCCCAATAGCAAGCTGGGCTGTCTCTAATGTGACTCTAGCCAGTCTAAGAATGGCAAATGTGCACTTCTCTCCCATTTGGTCTGCCTTACTAAACACCGTTAGCTTGATTACATTCCTAAAGCTAGTCACCAAGGTCTAGTCCCCCTAATTTGGCCACTCCCTCCACCTGAGGCTGACTACCAAGGTCCAGCAATCAAAAGCCCACTTTGGCTGCCTTAATTAACATTAAAATCAAAATTAAACACCTCATCCTAACACAGGACTTCCCCCTTTACCTGTATAAGCTGCTATTAGCCTATGGGCCACATCTGTCTCCACTCTATCCAGAGACAGTCCCCATCCCCACCCCTCATCCCCCCACCCCACCCCCTCCCGCCCCTGACAAATACTCCTTCCTCTCTTCCCTTGTTCCCTTCTCTCTTCTCCCTTTTCCTCTATCTCCTATCTTTGTCCCTTATCCCTGCCCTCTGTCTCTCTTTTATGCTGAGAACTTGGTCTTGGGGTGTCTTGAGCCAACTTTGAGGTCCTTACTCCCTCCCGCCATGAGTTTTTGACCAGGAAGGCCCTGCCAACCACAGAGGCTATCTCCATGGCTGTCCGTTGCATGCTAGAACTAGGTGGTGGATCTTGACTGCTGAGATACCTGTGTATTTTAGCTCCAGAACATGGAGAAGTTAGATTGGGACTAAGATGGACAATCCCTCCCTACTGATTGGCTTTGGTAATGCCAGAAGGCACTACGCAGGCTACTAGAGAGAGAAGGTAAGCAAAGACAGGGGTCTGCACAATGCCTGCTCTGTGACTTTTAGATGACCAAAATAGGTTGGAGAGGGTGACAAGACCAGGGTTCCAGGACTGGCTAAGAGAGGCCTCTGTGGGATTACTGTGACCAGACTTAACAGGGCCTGGAGGGGAGGGGCTGTATAAAACAGAAGGAGAAGCTGGCACGATGGGGTTTCAGGAAGAAAACCAGGCTGTCTCTGCTTCCCGTTGTTTGATTCAGAGCCTTTGGGAAGAAAGTGAAGCCCGAACAGAGGTTCCTATCCAGAGAAGAGCTGTTAAGTAGAGCAGACGCAAACAGCAGGGTTGTCCTCAGCACAAGGTCAGGAACCCTGTCACCTTCCACCTCTTCCCAGTGCCTTCCTTTTCATTCACAGGAGGTACAGAAGCCACTCCTGTTTGATGATAAGAACCTGAAGGAAAGGGATCTGAGCCCACACTGAGGCCTCCTTCCTGCTCCCAAGTTCTCTCCCCGCACCACCAGCACTCACCATGCAGCTGGGGGACTCACAGCCGCAGCCAACTGCAGAGTTCATGGCAACCAGAGGGAGCTCTCCTTCTTTCTGGCTTCCTTTAAGAAACAAGACAGATAATACCAGGAAAGGAGTCCAGTGCTTTAAGAGAGGGGTCTGACTCAGAGGGCAGGCCCAGGGGGAGGTGATGTACTCTCACTGTGGCTAATGTTCCTCAGGCCTCTTGCTGTAGAGATCAAGGTGCTTCCAACTGTGGAAAATGCTTCCTGGTTTGATAAGTTTTGTGGGCTCCAGGAAACTGGGTGTGATTTGAGAAGTCTTTCAGAAGGCCAGCTTCTGAAAGGAGGGAAGGAGGAGGGAGGTGAACAGAGTTACCAGTAATCAGAAAACAGATTGAGATGACAGAGAACTCATTAAAAAGATAGTGAGCCCAGGAGAGTTGATGCATGAATGAAATGATTAATGACAGAAGTATTACTTCGTTCTGGGCACTCTGCCTCCAAGGCTCTTGAGTGGAGACAAAGCTTACAGCAGGGGTTCTCACCTTGGGGATTATGACTGCTTTGGGGGTCAAAAGACCTTTTCACAGGGGTCACCTAAGACCATCGGAGAACACAGGTATTGACATTATGATTCATAAAGTAACAGTTATGAAGTAGCAATGAAAATAATTTATGGTGGGGGGTACTACAACAGGAGGAGCGGTGTTAAAGGGTCACAGCCTTAGGAAGGCTGAGAACCATTGACCTAGAGGCTCAATAAGAATCTGAGAAAACAGCACTGGATAGCACTGGGCTCTGTAAGACACAGAAAAGCCTGGAGGAGTTTTTAAGAAAGCCAGATAGACAGAGTTGCTTTCCTGCACAGAGGACTTGGAAAGACCTCTCAAAAAAAAAAAAAAATGTGCTCACACCCCACCTCTGTGAGAGCCAGACCGAGCAAGCAGCAGCTACTCATGGGGGTAGAATATTCTGAGGCAGGTGGCCCTGACTCCCACTACTCAGAACACAGGACAGGAACCACAGAAAATTCCATGGGAAAAGCATGGGGAAAGCACAATAGGATGTTGCGGGGGGGGGGGGGATCAATCTGGCTGAAGCCTTGACAGAAAACACAAAATCAAAAAAATCATTACTACTAAATAGCCATCCTCCAAGGACTTGACTCCACTCCCGGCTACAGCGTCTTATGTGCTGCTCTGTGTTTGGTTTGTTTAATTTGGTGACAGACGGAGCCTGTGCATGCTCGTGTTACAGATTACACCACAGGGCCTGAGAATGGTGCCAACCAGGCAAGCACTCTTCACTGAGCTGCATTCCTGGCCCTCCAGTACCTACCTTTGTTTGTTTGCTTGCTTGCTTGTTTCTCTTTTTTCTCTCTTCCTGTTTTATTTTGCTTTACCTTTCTTTTTGCTTGTATGTCTGTGCATATATGTAGGTACAGGTGTGTGTGAGGGCCAGCAATCAAAGTCAGGTGCCATCCTCCATCACTCTCAACCTTATTTACTGAGGTAGAGTCTCTCACTTGAGCCCAAAGGTAGCCCATTTTATTAGCCTAGCTAGCCAGCTTGCTCTGGGGAATGCTCTATCTTATCACTTCTGAGCACTGGGATTAAAGATGGCTACTGCACACATCCAGCATTTTTGTGGGTGCAAGGGATCTGGACTCTAGTCCTCACAATGGCATGTCAAGTGCTTTTCCCACTGAGCCACCCCCTAACCCTCATAGGTGTAACTATTACATTGTAAATAGAAAACTTGTGTGGCTGAGAACTTAAATTGTTTTCCCCTTGTCAGCAGATACCAGCTTTACTTTCCCTCTTCTGGGACCATATACATACATACATACATACATACATACATACATACATACATACACACACACACACACATACACACACACACACAATCACACACACACACACACACACAGACACATGCTCAGAGAGAGAGAGAGACATACACACAAATAGACACATACACATAGACACATACAGAGAGGAATACACACACACAGATATAGACACACAGAGAGAGATAGACACACACAGAGACACGCTTCCAAAGAGGCAGATATGCCCACACAGACTCAGACACACAGACATACACACATACACACAGACAAACACAGACACACACGCCCATACACAGAAGCACCCAGACACCCAGACACGCCCTATTCTTTGAACTCATTCTTGCAGAATCCTGACACTTCTCCTGAGCTGCTTAACAGGAATGGTCACAAGGCGCTTTGCCATTCCTCTGTGTAACTAACTGCTTCTGCCAACCCTTCAGCTCATCTCCAGGTCCACCGTCCTGATAGGTAGAAATCTAACCATGAAAACCAAAATGCTACAAAGGAAGTTAGGCTGGGAGGAGAAGACACCAGCATCCTCTATTCTCACCATCCTGGTGAAGGACACCAGCATCTATCAAGTGACCCCAGCCCTGGTCCTAAGTCCATCCAAAGCAGTATCCTTGCTCTTCCAGATCCTCTTAACTCTTTCTCATGTGTATCCGATACTCTCCAATGACAGGAAGTCCACTAACATCATCTCAGCCTCCTTTTGGCCCCTCTACCCACTCTATATTAATTTCCTGCTCTGTAATGTCATAACCTTCTTTCCCTCCTGTCAATGGTCTGGATAAAGTGGTAAAACAAAAGTTAGTCCTGTTTTCCCTTAAACAAACAAATAGCTCTCCTGAGCCATAAGGATGAACTGAAACTCCGCACACAGCCATGACTGTGTCTCATGACTTCTTTCCTTAAGTCTGTTGCTCACCACTTCCTGTCAATACACCTGGGGCTGGCACACATACATTCTCAACCGAGCAAATGGATCCAATCAAATTATCCAGGGTTACTCAACTCTTCTTAGTCACTAAACTGTCTCTCAGATCTCATAAGCCAGATCTTTGTCAAGAAAGAGATCCATCTAAATGTGTTCTTCCTCCTTCCCAGGCTCTGGCTGTAACACGGTGGGGGTATCTCAGTATAGCATTTACCACAGAGGCATGAGTGCTTGAAGTCTACCTGAATGCCATTCACTGTGGCATGAACTGGCCACAGTGGCACACACCTTTAGCCCCATCACTGGGGAGACAGAAGAAGGCAGATCTCTGTAACATTGAGGACAGTTTTGTCTACATAGTGAGTTCCAGGCCAGCCAGAGCTTCACTGTGAGACCCTATCTAAAAAAAATTAATCAATCAATTTTTCAAAAGCCAGGAGTAGTGTCACACACTTGTAGTCCACAGGATATCCCTGGGGCTCATGGGCCACCCAGGGAAAGTGGACTTTACTGCTCAGGGAATCTGGGTGCCAGCACATTCAGAGTGCAGAACATTGAAATAGTGCAATACTGGATGGAGTTTCTCCCTTGAGCAGTGCTAACCTTGCCTTTATCCTCATCCCCTTTGTAATGGTCTCTGACATTCTTTTTTCAAAAATGGGAGGTCTTTGAAAAAGAACAAGGAATATTTATTGAGAGGAAAAAATCTCAATAAATCAAATGTTCCTGTATTCTTCTTTTTTGACAGCACGGTAGGAAAGACAAACGGGTCTTGGTGTTGAGAAGAGAAGGACAGGAGGTACTGGGCATTGAAGAGGGAAATGGGCTCAAGGGCAGAGTTTAGGAATGTCACTGAGCTTGATGGATGGAGATGCTCTAGAGAGAAGGGCAACTTCTTGTGAAGACTACCAAAACTTGCCATGTACACAGCTCAGAGTCCAGGCCACTGGCTGGAAAGTTCCCCATGGGAATCATATGTTTGCTTGTACTGCCCTCTATCACCTGTCCAGGAGAACCTTGGTTTCTGTTCCAGGTGCTTTGAGGACATGATTGATGGAGAACTCCCTTGGCGGCCCTGCTCATCCAACCAAGGCTATGGGCAATGTTCTTGGTCCATCCCAACTCCTAAGGTACCATTTGGGAGTCCTGGGCCACCAAGTCAAGCAACGGCAGTCTCCTAAAAGTTAACTTCTCTAGCAAGATCACATTCACTGGGTACAGAGTGGCTGATGGGGTTTTCTGAGAGTGCATATATTTGCAAGATGCAGGTGGGGAAGGAACGGTGAACTTGGAATGGTGACCTTAGCCTGGCAGAATCAACGTGGATCAACACTAGATTCAGCTGTAGGTATTTTGAGGCCACAGAGACCCTAAATCGCACATCTGGTAAGTGGAAGTGCAGATGTAGAGGTCCTGGGAATTAGGTGGTTGTTTTGGTATGTGGTCAAGAGCAGGAACATGCGAACAAGGCAGGAGCTAGGCTTTGACGACCCTCTGGACTCACTGTTTCCTGACCAATGTGAATGAAGGCTCACAAACAGAAGCTGCCTCTTCCAGCTGAACCTTCTGCAGAGCTGCCTAATGTATGAAGATGTCAATGACTGAATAGTTAGGAACATTGCAAGTCCAGAGCCATATCATCCTGGGGCATCTTATTCCTCTTACTGGCTATCTGTTGCCCACCTCTGTACTCGACCTGACAATTTTGTGACCATTAGATCATTTGGGATGTCCAGTCAGAGCACTGGTGTTCCACTGGAAGGGGTTACCTTAGCAGACCACAAGTGTCCACTACCTCCAAAGTCACGAGTGTCATCAGAGACCATCCATTCGAGGTCTGTAACAGGTTTCCCTGCTTTGCTGTAATCCACCTCTCAAGTGTCTTGATTTATGACTTACTTTATTCTGTTACTATAAAAAGCTCATCAAAGTGGTACCACCTTGGAGTACGGAATTTGAGGTAACCTAAATCTGTGTTCCTGGGCTGTGGTCACTCATATTTGGCTCCAGAATAAAATTATTTATCACCTCTGAAGTGGGAGTTGTGTGTTTTGTGTTGGCACTGAACTACAGCAGGATTCATGGTCCTTCTATCTTAGATATGCCATTACACAAGGCATCCCGACACCAGGAGAGTCCTGGCCATTTCACCTCTTGAATGCAAAAGCCATTTATATATTTAATGTGCCCTTTATTTTTATTTTGAGACTGACCTTTTGTGGCCCAAGATAGTCTTACTCACTAGGTGGCCAAGACTGACAATGAACCCTTACCCTCTTGCCTCTATTTCTCCGATGCTGAGATTACAGGCATGTGGCAACATACCCTGTTCATGCAGTAGTGGGAATTGAACTCAGGGTTTCATGCACACTAAGAACACACCCTTTCAACTTAGCTACATCTCCAGCCCCCTAAGTCAATT